TCACCCATGAGGGACGGGTTTCAGTGAAGCTTCCAGACTGAGACAGAAGGACCAGGTGATCTAGACCTGAAAACTAGTGATCAGTGAAAAGTATACAGATAACAACAGAACATTGTCTGATAATAGTGTCGGAAGATAAGCACCTCACATTGGAAGACACTCAAATTTCAACTGGGGAAGCAGCGGCCTCCTCAAAGTAAAGTTGAACTTAATGATATGGATGGAATAAAGATTTTAGGACCTTCATTTGTAGGTGTGGCTCAACTCAAAATGTGAAGAAATAGCTGTAAGCATCCGTTAATTAATCAGAACATTAAATGTATGAAGTATGAACTGAGGAAAGTGTGAAGTTGTCAAAAATGAAATGGAATGCTTGAAGATCAATATTCTAGGCATTTAGTGAGCTGAAATGGCCGTTTTGATTCAAATAAATGGTCTACTATGCTGGTATGACAGCATTCATTATCAAAAAGAACACTGTACAGATCATGATGAAATAGTGCTGTCAGTGACAGGGATAATACCATATGCCTACAAGTTAAAGTGACTATTATTCAAGTGTATGCACCACAACTAACATACAAAATGAAGAAATTAAAGTTTTTAGTCTAAAATTGATCAAAGATGCATTAATAGTTACTGGTGATTGCAATGTGAAGGTTAGAAACAAAAAGAAGGATCAGTAGTTAGGAAATATGGCCTTCAAGACAAAAATACTACCAGAGATACGTGAAAAAATTTGTAAGACCAGGGACTTATTACAGGAGCTCTGGTAGCATAATGGTTACAAATCGGGATGGTAACCTCAAGGTCAGCAGTTCAAAACCACCAAGCTGTTCCACAGGAGAAAGATGAGGCTTTCTGCTCCCGTAAAGATTTATAGCCTCGGAAACAGTATGTAGGGTCACATGAGTTGGAACTGACTCCACGGCACACCACCACCAATGACTTTTACTTACTCATTGCAAATACCATTTTGAACAGCACAAATGTTGACTATACATGTGAACCTCACAGGATCTACTTATAAACTATACCAATGAAAAAGCTTAATACCATCAATCAGAATAAAGTCAGGAACCAACTGAGGAACAGACTACCAACTGCTCATATTCAAGTTCAAGGTGAAACTGAAGAAAATTAAAACAAGTCCATGAAAACCAACATATGACCTGAACCTCTACCCCACCTGAATTTAAGACCACTTCAAGCATAGATTGGATACATTCCTCACTGATGACCAAAGACCAGACCAGTTGTGGGCTGATGTCACCTTGATGCACATCTTCCAACACTACGATCAGACAATGTTTTGCTGCTAGCTTTATGTTTCTCACTGATCAGTATGCTTCAGATCGAGAACGCCTGGTCCTTCTTCCCTGTCTGTCTTATCAAGCTCTTCCCTTTGTCTGAAACAGTTTCTCCTGGGCTACTTACTCCTGCCTGCTTGTTTCTCATTCCTTCTGGAGGTTTAGTAGAAATGCCTATTCACCTCTCCTGTCTAACCTAAAGTTGGGGCCATAAGTAAACCCACTCAGAACCCTCTACACAATTTCCCTCCATTTCTCATCAAAAGTGTACTTATTTATTTTTTAATGTTTAAATTCCCCTCTAGTAGAATGTTCATAAGGCATGGAGTCCATCTCTGTGTTTGTTGTTTTATTCCAGGCCCCAGCACAGTCTTGACCCATAAAAAAATAACAGGTAAAGAAGGAACAAGGAGTTCTGGTAGCATAGTGGTTACGAATCGGGCTGCTAACCTCAGGGTCAGCAGTTCGAAACTACCAGCTGTTCTATGGGAGAAAGATAAGGCTTTCTACTCTTGTAAAGATTTACAGCCTCGGAAACCCTGTACACAGTGGCTATGAGTCGGAACCTACTTCACAGCACATAACAACAACAACAAAGGAAGGAACAAAGGAAAGAGGGAGGGAGAAAGAGCAAGTGAGAAGGAGAAATACAGAAAGACAGAAACAAACAAACAAAAACAACAGTTGCTGTTGGAATCAACCCCATGTGTCAGAGTGGAATTGTAATCTACAGGGCTTTTAATTGCTGAATTTTCAAAAGTAAATCACCAGGGCTTCCTTCTGAGGCAGCTCTAAGTGGATTCAAACCTCCCATTTTGGTGAACAGCTGAGTGCTTAACCATTTCTACCACCCACAGAGATACTGAATAAAGATCATTAACTGAAAGAATGAAGAAGAGGAAGATAAAGGAAAAGGAGAGGAGGAGAGAATCAGGCAGTAACTGTTCACCTCATGAAACTCCAAGACTTTGAGAACACAACTAGATAGTGCCCAGCTACAACTACCAACAAGGAGCTCTGCTAGGGTAGTGCTTACAAAACAGGCTGCTAACCTCAAGGTCAACTGTTTGAAACTACCCGCCTTTCCACGGGAGAAACATGAGACGTTCTGCTCCTGTAAAGACCCTGTGCAGGGTCACTGTGAGTCAGAACCGACTCCACGGTACTTAATAACAACCACTACACCAAGGGCTCTGAAAGAGATCACATTAGAAGGTTCTGGATAGAGTGGGTAAAATTGTGGAACAAAACTTAAAAAAAAAAAATTTTTTTTTTTGAAAGACTAGGCTTACTGGTCAGAAAGAATCTAGAGGAACCTGAGACTAGGGCCTTCAGCCACCCTTCAGGTTTGGAAAGGAACTCACCCTTGTGGCCCAATGTTCAGACAAGCAGTAGCTAGGTATATAGCGGGGGTCAACAACACTAGGGAGGTATGGTCACCATGGGATGGTCAATCATTCAAAATCTACAGGGCAACACTTACCTAGGGATGAAGTTGGGAAGGTGGAAGAATGGAAATAGAACCACAGGGAGAAAGTGGAATGACTGTTTTTGCATGGTGGGGAATGCAATCATTGAGATAAAACAAAGTCTCAATGGTTGAATATAAAACTGATGGTCTTGTTTGAGAATCTTCACTCAAGTCACAATAAAACGCTCTAAATAAAACAAAACCCAAAACACTGTTCACCCTCCCTCAGTTTGCCCATACCCCCTACCGGTCCTTGATGGGGTAGAAACAGGAAGACATTGAGAAGGGATGGGAAGAAAGATAAAAAGAGGGAAGACAGAAATTGTGAATGAGGAGGCAAAGGGACCACCATGCAATGCTTCAGGCCAAGTGTAAAACTAAGAGTAAATGGACATGGGCCTTTCAGAAAAGTTTGTACTCCATTTAATTTAGGTCCCAAATGCCCAAAACAGAGATAATTCCCCACCAAAAGAAAGGGAGAACACTGATGCTGTGTGCTTTCCAGCAATTCACTCAATGTTCATGGCCTGTGGCCTCTTGGTCCTGGAAATGGGAGGGTGCTCCCTCTGGCTCACACGTCTGTGGGTCTCTGCAGGACCAGAGGCAGCCCAGAGCCATGGCGCCCACTCAACACTGTCTCTGCCACATTTGACTGCCCGAGACACACTCCCATGCACTGAGGGTCTAATAGCAAGTCCCTTCATTACACCAAAACAAGACAGAGAGAAACCACCCAGTAGGTATCAAGTGTCCTCTGACTCATGGTATGAGACCCATGTGTATCAGAGCTGTGATCCACAGGAATTTCCAGGCCTTTCTCCTGGGCACCTCTGATGGATTTGAACCTCCAACCTTTGTTATTGTTGTTGTTGTTGTTATGTGCCATGGAGTCTGTTCTGACTCATAGCGACTCTGCACAGGGTTTCCAAGGCTGTAAATCTTTACAGGAGCCGAAAGCCTCATCTTTCTCCCGCGGAACAGCTGGTAGTTTCAAACTGCTGACCTTGAGGTTCAGCCTGATTCGTGACCATATGCTACTAGAACTCCTTACCTTTGTTACTAGTCAAGCACTTAAATCCTTTCATTACATAAAAACACACCAAATCTGAATCCCCGAGAGACCATCGTGAATACACGATCTGAGAAGAAGAACCCTGGTGGCACAGTGATTAAGCACCTGACTGGAAACCAAAAGTTCAAGTCCACAGGCTACTCCACGATAGAAAAGACTTGGCAATCCACACGTGAAAATTTCATCCTAAGAAACCCCATGGGGCAGTTCTACTCTGTCCTCAAGCGTCATACTAATTCTGTCGGAATCATCTAGACGGCAATGAGTCCTTCGGTGGGCACTTAGGAAACCACTTCAACATCAAAGTTTCCCGACAGGGCCATGGCATTAAAAGTCGGACTGGCTTGAAGCACACAACTTCGGGATGAGTGACTCCAGCTCTCTGGCAATAGGCCTCCCTCTCCATTCCATCCAAATGTTTTCAGTTCAAGTACGACTCTCCAGATAGCAAACAGCCTACCTTTCATTCCACTCCATCCATTTCGGATGTGAGTATTTCCCATGCCTCCTAACTCCCACTCTCCTTTGCTGGTCCTACTTTTTTTTTCTTTTCTTTTTTCAGTAAACAAGAGAAGCAACAGAGACGCTCCATACGCATCAGCAGAATCAGCAAACAAATGAACTAAATTATGTGTTCCCACATGGACAGCTTCCGAGAGCATTGTTCAGTGAAACAGATGTTAAATGATTTCAATCAGCAGTCGCATTTACAATGTATAATGAAAAGGCAGCAAGACTCTCATGAAGCGAAGGAGGCACAGTTTGTTACTTGGGCCAGAAGCAATGAGGCTCCTATTACTTAATCAAGCACTGGAAAGAGAGTCATGGGCAATTTATGTTCATTGTATACTCCGGCGACATTTCCAGAGAAGAACTGCATTGTGTTCATAAGCAAAATTTGGTGGGTTCAGTCAGTAGCCATGGTGAACCAGTACAAGCTAGTAAGCATCATCCTCTGATCTCTAAGAAGTCCCACCAGGACTCAAAAGGACTATAAGCCTGTTAATTAGTTCAAGACAAAGTTCTATCAGACGAATGGAGGAGTTTCCCCATTAACACCATATGCCAAAACAACAGGTGTGCAACAGGAAGAATATCAAAGATGGAGACTCCACATCCACATCAAATCGGCTCCCAGCATACTTACATCCGTGTCAGGTCCTTTATCCGCGCCCGGACAGGAGAAAGTAACAAACTCATGGCACCTCTTGTGAACCACGAAACAGCAAACTGGTGGAAGGAAAGGAAATGGAAATTAGAAGAGCCCAGCTTGCATGTATATGCAGTGTTTCCCAGACATGGCTACCTGCTGTTGGAGGTTAGTGTAATTCCACGCAGATGGACTCTTATAAAGAACCATCAGAAGGCATTTCACTTGAGACCCGGCAGCATTTGGTGTGACCTGGACTCACGGATAATAGAATCACAGAACGCCAGCACTGAGGGCAGCTGTGGAGACCTCGGCTGCAGCTCCTGTCCTCCACAGATGGGAGGGAGGAAGCTGAAGACTGCGGGACACTGCCCCACGGCACAAGCTGGGAATCCAAAGGTAAAGCTCTTTGCAAGGTCTTAAACAGGAGCCCAGGTGAGGCAGCGCTTAAAGCGCTCGGTTGCCAACTAAAAGGTCAACAGTGAACCCACCAGCGGCTCCATGGGATAACGATATGGCAGTCTGCTGTCATATACCACACACACACACACACACACACACACACACACACACACACACACGATACTTTCTGGATGAAATAAAATACCCACCCCCTGCTGTCGTCTATTCTGACTCATGGGGGGTTCTATAGGACAGAGTGGAACTGCCTTGTAGGGTTTCCAAAGTGGTAATATTTATGAGAGCAGATGGCCACATCTTTCTCATTTGGAGCAGCTGGTGGGTTCAAATCACCAACCTTTTGGTTGGCCGCTAAATGCTTTAACCACCGGTGCCTCTGCTGTTGCTGTTAAGAAGTGCTGTGGAGTTGGTTTCGACTCATAGCGACCCTGTGTAGGGTTTCTGAGAAGCGGCTGGTAGGTTTGAACTGCTGAACTTGTGGTTCGCAGTCCAATGTTGATCTTACAGCACCACACCAGGAGTCCAGTGTGCCTCTAGGATATCTCAAAATAAAATACAAATAATTGGTGATTATAAATGGTATTTATTTTTATCACTGTCATCCAGTTGATTCCAGCTCATAGTGACCCTGATATAGAGTTTCTGAGACAATAAATCTTTACCCAAGCAGACAGTCTTATCTTTCTCCAGTGGAGTGGCTGGTGTGTTCAAACCACCAACCTTGAGGTGCGCAGTCCTATGCGTAACCCACAGCGCCATCAGGACTCTCTTACAAATGAAAGACATCATACTTAGAAAAGTCAAAAAGAGGAAAAGTCCAGCAAGCTGGAGTGACGCGGTGTCCACAGCAATGGGCTCAAACATGACATTTGTGAGGATGGTGCCGGACCCAGTGGTATTTCATTCTGTTGTGCTTAGGGCTGCTGTGAGTGAGAACCGACTTGACGGCACCTAATAACAAATACTGTTGTTGTCAGGTAGCGTCAAGTTGGCTCTGACTCATAGCGACCCTGTACAGGGTTTCCAAGGAGCGTCTGGTGAGAACAAATAGAGACAATGCTAAGTACACACTTCAGGACTTCTCAGCAGAATTTCTAATTTAAAGAACTCATTAGAACATAAACCCAGTCAACAGATAACAGCCTATTGAAGTGAAAAACGTTGGGCAACATCCCAAGACCTTCATGTGTCTACCTGCCTTGCTACAGATGTTGGTACCAGTTGGGGGAGACCATGCGAACCAAGATAAACCCAATACTGTGAATATTTTCCAATCACAATCTGTTTCTGACAAATAATCCCAAAGATGATAAACTAAAGAGCTGCAGTTGTTAACTCTAGAAATTAGTAAGTAATGCCCGAAGGGCCTGCTCCTTCCTGGAAGAACTAAAGTCTGGTAATAGAGATCTGCTAACGATCAGAATGAAGAGACGGCAGTGCTTCCAAGGACACTATCTACAATGTTATGGTTGTGTGCTGAATAATAACAAGATGTTAAGAATAGATCCTCAAAAACATGGAGTTAAGCCTTTATTACAGAAGGAAAGACAGACTGTTTCAAAATCAGTAGCTCCTATGCTATTATCTTCTCCCAGAGAAAGAGGGAACACCAAGGATGTTCCCAGCACCAGTGTCAGTGGATGAAGACTACTGAGTGGGGAGGGCAGGGCTGCTGAGAGCCGAGATCCCAAGAGGAAATAAGCCAAGTACTAGAGAACAGTTAGAGGACCTTGAATGTCTTAGCAAGAAAGTCAGAGTATCTTTGACACCCACTGGAAGACACTGGAAGTTTCTGAACAAGGTGATACTATGAATAAAAGCAGTTCTTTAGAAAGGTTAAGTGAGCATTGTTGTCAAGTGCCACCAAGTCGGTTCTGACTCACAGTGACCCTATATAGGGTTTCCTAGGAGCAGCTGGTGGGTTTGAACCGCAGTCCTTATGGTTAGCAGTCCAATGCTTACCCTACAGTACCACAGGATTTAATGGAATCGATCTGTAAGACCCAGTAAGATGCCACTTCCATCGTCCAGGTATGAAAGTACTTGCCCATCATTATTCAGGTTCCTTGGCACCTAACAACAATCACAACATTCAGACTGCTAAAACATAGGAGGTGTAGACAGTTAAGAGCTGATGGAACTGGCCGGGGACCACAGATACCATTTCCTGAGCATCTTATTATGTATCAGGCCCTCCGTCGGGTCCTGGCCTTCATACCCACACTCCTTCAGATGCACCGCTCAGTGTATGGATGGGAAAATACTGTGTATAGAGCAGGAGTAAGCACAAAGTGAGTCTTTGGGATGGTAGAGAGGAAGGCAGGTGGGGAAGACAGACAGGTGGATAGATAGATGTACCTACAGATGGATGAGGGACTTGCCTAAAATCACACACTTACTACGCATTGGAGACAGGAGTCAGAGTAAAGACTTGTTTGACTCCAAAGCCCGCATGGCTTCTATCACATCATAGCCAAAGGTGTGCTATCAGGCACAGAAAGAGAATTACACATGATGCTAAGAACTGGCACATGAGTTGCAAGGAGGATGTGTTTGTGGATTTAGTTTTATATGTTTTGCTACATACCTATTACACCTGAGGGTGAGTATGGTGACTCTGTAGGATAAGCACTGGACTGCAAACCACACTGTCAGCAGTTCTAGCCTACCAACTACTCTCTAAGAGAAAGATGAAGCTTTCTGTTCCCACAGATATCTACAGTCTTGGAAAGCCTAAACAGGGTTGCTATGAGCTGGAATCAACTTGAGGGCAGTAGCTTTGATTTGGGGTTTGGGGATACTTAGACCTACAGAGATACTTGTGATTCATAGGTAGAATTCTCACCTTCCATGGGAGAGACCCAAGCTTGGATCCTAGCCAGTGCACTTCTCTGAATAAATGTGAAGCCACCACATTATCTGCTGGTGAAGGCTTGCGTGTTGCTACGATACTGATCAAGTTTCCGTGGAACTTCCAGACTAAGACTTACCAGGAAGAAAGGTCTAGCAATCTACTTCCAAAAACCAATCAGTGAAAACCCTATGGGGTCACAGTAGTCCAGTATGCAAATCATCATGAGGACCAGCAGCATTCTGGGCTGCCCTGAGACGGAACTGACTAACCTGACAGAAGGTAGTCACAGCATACTCATACCTGTGCCTGGGTTTGCCTGCCTATCAATCTACTAGCTCAGAGCATAAGGCGTGGCTATGCCATGTTAGAGGGCAGGAAACCAGGATCACAAACAACTGTCTTCATCATAAATAGCTTTCCTTGAAAGTGATCATATTCTAATGCCCCAAACTAACACCAAACCCACTGCCCCGGAGTCAATTCTGACTCCTAGCAACCCTGTGTAGCGTTTCTGAGACTGTAAATCTCAGATTGCCTCATTTTCCTCCCAAGGAGAGCCCGGTGGTTTTGAATTGCTGACTTTGAAGTGAGCAGTCTAACGCCTAACACACAACTCCACCAAGACTCCTTAATACAATGTTCCAGGAGTCCCAGTGTGGCGTTGTAGGGTACGTACTGAACTGCTAACTGCAAGGTCAATGTTTCAAGCCCACCAGCCACTTCTCGGAAACACTAACAGGGTCACTATGTGTTAGAACGGACTCGATGTCACTTAACAACAACAACAAACATACAGTTTTGAACAAAAGGAACAGGCTTACAATGAGCAGGCAGAGAGCTGAGCACCTGAGGGCCATCCCTAGAGAGGTGGTCATGAAAGGTCCCTGAGTGGGAGCTCCACGTGGGCTGCCCACCACCCATGCACCTCTGCTACATGTACCCACCGTGTACAAGCAGGGGGCAGGAGGAGGAAGTGGCAGAGAAGGGAGCCTGGGCTCTGAAACAGCACAAAGGGCAGCGGACAGCTCCTCTAAGCCTGGTGAGTGAGTGCTCTTTCCACTAGGTTTCTGCTAAAAGCATCTTGATTGCGAATTTCTTTAAGGACAGATAATAGAAGCAGCCCCGAGAAAGCACCAATTAATCTCATCTGCTTGCTCTCCCCAGGCGCAAAATCATCTTCCAGGCACTGGAATTAGACAGATAGACTACCGAGGGAACGAACCACGGGAGCATTATTTCTCCATCACAGTTCATTATGAACATGGTGTTTTGAGAAGAAAAGAAGCATTCTGATTCCCTACTTAATCTTTCTAACATCCAGGTCTTTCATCTTTTTTTTTTTTAAAAAACCATCTCTCTGCATTTGGGTGAACACTGTTAAAAGAACCCACATTTATCAAATTCCTTTAAAAGGATAGTTTGTCTCTTTGTTTCTGTCCTTTGTCTCCCCATTTACATATCAATGCAATTATATGGCTCCAGTGGAAAGTACTTCTATTGTACATCTTGAAATATCTCCTACATCAAGCTTTACCCTAAGAAAAAGCAGGGTGTCACTGTAATTTGCAGGGGCAACAAATGCTCCAACTCACAGCACCCCCATGTGTGTCAGAGTAGAACTGTGCTCCCTGGGGTTTTCCATTGCTGATTTCTCGGAAGTAGATAGCCAGGCCTTTCTTCCACGGTGCCTTTGTGTCAACTCCTTTCAGTTAGTGGATGAGTGTTTCAGCCTTGTGCACCACCCAGAGAAACCCACCTACCCCCAAACTTCCCTTCTCCAATCTGCCTCAGTAGCCCCCTTCTTCT